TGTACATTGAAAGAAAACTCCCATTCAGCTCTGACTAGAATTGGAACATTCCAAAAACCGAATTTCGACGTACTTATGACATAGTGAGATAATTCCGCACAAGTGCACAGAACTCGAGGGTCTCGGGGCTTTTTTTGATAGATGTACAGTTAGAGGCATGCGCTCTCTTCCTCTTTATTGAATGGTAGTTTTTAGATATTCGTTAGGACTGATATACGAATATAATTATTAAATGTTTCATTGTTGTGAAATCGCACATTCTAACAACGAAAATTACAAGTTGAAGCTAGTTTTTGGTGAACTAAAAGGAAATGCTGTGTAGAATTCAACAGAAAAACCTGAAAATGTGTGGAAATTGCGTGTAACGAATGTGTCTTTTACTATTGGCGAACTTGAAGCCCAATTTAATTGAGGAAATTAACGAGTTTTCACATCGAAACTCATCGGAAAATGTTTGGCAACAGCGCTTAACTTCCAAATATGCGGTTAAAATCATCTAAAAGGTGCAAATAGTCCAATTTTAACTTTTCGTTTCACTTTTATGCCGAATCCAGTCATCCAAAGGTCCAAAAATCATGGCCCAGTTTCCATTATCCACCATGTGTTTGGAAAAAGTAATAATGTGCTCAAGGTACATTTTTTAATCAGCATTCATAGAGGATCAAAAAAAGTCATTCATAACCTCAGTATACAAGGTGGCCAATAAGTTAGAGCTAAATGAATACAAGATACCTTGTGATTCCAGACCAAAAGCAAGATGTCTTTTTTCACCTCCCAGAGCCTGCAAATTGGTAATTTTATAGCGATATTCATATTTTCTTATACAGGCTATGGCAGCTATTTTTCAGGTGATTTAATATTTTTTAAATGTGCTAATATTAGTCTGTGTATCGCGTCCAATATCTGCGTTAATATTTTTTTATAGCTATTCAAAATGATCCAAACACCTTTTGATGAATATAAACAATGTTCCTGGGTTTCAGCCACTTATTTAGAATATCACAATTTAGTCATTAAAACGTTTCGGTGTTTTTCCACCATCATCAGTTTGTTCGTGTAGGCAGTAGTTGCTACGCACTGCCACACGAACAAACTGATGATGGTGGAAAGACACCGAAACGTTTTAATGACTAAATTGTGATATTCTAAATAAGTGACTGAAACCCAGGAACATTGTTTGTGTTAAAATTAGAAATACAGTTAGGAAAACTTACATGACTTTTGATGAATATTTTTGAAAAAAGCAGCGATGTTAAACTATATAAATGACGTTCGCCACTGACTTTAATTGAAACTCGAAACTTTTCTAAATAAATCAAGTAAAAATACAGCTGTTTTGTCTCGTGAATTTTCCTCGTTTCTTGCTTCGTTCTGGTGATAACAGCAAAATTGAAACGTCCATTGTCATACAGAAAAAAATTCTAACAAAGATCACAACTTTCTTCCCAAAAATTTCAAAAACTGTTTGAAACTAACACAAGTTTTTAAAGTTAGTTAAAATTAAAAAAACACACATTTTTTTAAAATAATAGGTATTGACTAAAGTCTAAATACCTTTTCATGGACATTTTTCAGAAAAGTAGCAAAATGGAAAAAGCCTTAGTTAAATTATCAATTAAATGATGTAAGTACGCAACTGACTTTAATTAAAACTCGACAATTTTCTATATAAATCAACTAAAAATACAGCTGTTTGGTCCCGTGAATTTTCCTGGTTTCTTCTTCGTGTAGGTGATAAAAGCAAAATTTGAACGTCCATTTGGCACACAGAAAAAAGTGTAACAAAGATCACCAATATTTTCCCCAAAATTACGAAAACTGTTTAAAACCAACACATAAGGCGTTAATTTGTTTAAATAATTACTAATGACAATAGTCTAAATATCTTTTCATATCACAATATTGACACAAACTACTCAATTCCAACATCTAAAGTTTAGCTTTTTCTGATACGAGCAATCGAAAAACAATTATTGCATCGTTTAGTTTAACCACCCAGTATATCGAAAACCAAACATTTGCAGGCCCGTCTTTATATGATTAGCACACTAAATGTGGAAGACAAGCTGTTAATAAGCTCTTCAAAAATCAAAATAAAAACTTGCAAATATTGCAAAAAATGGAATGGTTTGGAACTAATACTGCCTCTGATGCACGAAATTTTCTGTTTAAAACCCCCTGGTAAAATACAATGCTGATGGGTTGAATTTGAGTATCTAACGAGTGGAAAACCATTGATGATGGTCACTGTCAAGTCAAATAAATGAAAAAAAAATAGTTTGAGATACAAATATAAAGGAAATGTTAAGGCAGCGAATTTATTCGCTAGAGACATTCGTCTAAGACACATTCGTTAACAAACCGGCAATATAAAGCAAACATAAAGTCCATGTTGTAGTTAAGGCGAGCTCATTTTTGGACGATCGACTAACGAATTTAGCGCTGTATTTCCTTCAGGAATATTAATTTGTCCTCCATGGAGGCTGGCGGGGCTTCGCTCCTTTATTCGCGGAGAATTATTAAACGCCCCATTAGGAAAGCACAAAGTAAACTTGCAATTTTCGTCTAGAAATTTAAGCGGGTCCGCTGGTTCTGGCTGATTTGCGGTTTGGTGCCGTTTCTAACGAAGTTGTGCAACGAGTTCGAATTTGGCTTGAGGTTACGGTTATTCAGGCCGGAATCAGTGCAGCAGACCTTTGTATACACGCCATTTTGATAGCATATAGCTGCTTTGTCCGTTAATGTTCCTGCCATAGACATCACGCATTTGATAGCAATAGTTTTGCGTGTTACGTGTCCTAGAATTTACCCTGTGTTGAACAGATTCACACACATATCCAAGCCATTTTCTCATATGGCCCCTGATAATGTGCTTCTTTTAGTGTTATTGCTTTGCGATGGCCTTTGCAGGTGCTACCGACTGCGCCAACTTGGACAACTGCACCTGCAAATGCCACTGGTTGTGTATTTTGCCGTATTGCCTGCCCTGTCCCTACCGTGTCACATTTCTGAGCACATTTCTGAGCAGACTCCATCCTAGAGCATCTCTATTCTCATACTTGGGACCAAATAGTTCTACTGATTCAACTAGCTTTGTAGGTCCCCTTATTAATCGAATGAAAACTCCTTTAATGGTAACGTGCTCAGAAGGGTTGGCACTTCTTAACGCTAAGCACCCATATCAAGCTTTTGTCAGCAACTGATCGTTTAGTATTGGAAGTGAAGAACACCCACAGTCCACATTTGGAACCTCGCGTGGTTCACACAAATGGGGAGGAAACTTTGTTCAAAACGAAAAAAATTGTATATGTGTGTTGGTGTTTGTTACTGTTCGTGTCTTGAGATATAGCGGTGCTTTCTGCTTGATTAGCAATTATAGTGATGCCAAAAAATCCAGAGAATGTAGTTTTGTAATGCTGTTTGCCCCCTTCACTAACACGCTGAGTAGCCAGCTGAAATTCTTCTTAAAACTATTAAGACTGATGCGTTGTTTTATCTACTTTACTAGCAAAAAATAAAGGCAATATATTGTAATATATTTTTGTGCTAAACGTTTGTTACATACGTAATTGAATCAATGAAATTTTAAAAACTGTTTTGTAGTGGCCTATGTAGGAGTGGCCAGTTGTGACGTTGTGACTGCTTGGCCTATTTGCATGCGCTTTTTCCTTAAAAAAAATGCACACGCTCATAAAATAGTTTCCGTGTTGCTCGGTATCTATATTCAACTCGTTGAAATAAATACCCAGTGGAATCAAACCCAAACTATAACCGGCAGTGGACAATAAAATCATGTTAAAAATTCCACTTGTTGGCACTTGAATAATCCAAAACTATTTTCAAAGTTGTTAAAATCCAAAAAAAAAACTGTTATAAAGTGTGTGTAAACGAAGTAACTGCGATCCATGTGAAACCACCATGCAAATACTTGGGAAAACCGAAAGTGTTGAAAAGACGAACTTTTCACTTAAAATGTTGACCCACAAGAGTTTTGCGACGCCTTTCCTCCTGAAATCCGTTTGAGCGTAAAAAACTTCATTGGGCTTGTAATAGCTTTTCGGCGAGTTAATATTTTAAGAAAACACTAAGTTTGCTAAATCTCAACTCCCTCGGGCGTTTTTACCCAGAAAAAGGTTTTACGGGTTATTAGTATTGTGTGGTCTCCACTAATGATGTTTTCGTTTTTAGTCGAGTGAATCTGTATAGGAAGGGTCCGGCGTTATTTACGGATGCGAATTAACAGAAACAAACATGAAAATTTGCAGCTACATTCAAATGGAAATTCAGCAATTAACTGGATACATTTTTTATTCGTTCTTCACTAAATCGTAAATCATTTGCTGCGAGCATTTTCATTCAACATTGGGAATTTAATTGTTCAAAAAATGCTTCCAGCATCATTTCCAATATCTATATCATCAACAATTTTCAAAACATAAATATTTTTTAAATTGTATTTGATATTTTGGAAGGAAATCATTAAACTGAAGAAAACAGGGGGTGATATGAATAGCCAAACTTCGGGTGATTCTCTGAGTGATCCGTAAGAGAAAAGTTTGGATTCAAATTGAATTTTCCATTGTTTTCTGGCATTTGTTGCAAATCACGAAACCGTCCCAAATATCAGATTAATAAAAAAAGTTGGGCTTATTAACATGGTTCATTTGCGGTTCCAAACCCGCCCTGTACACATTTGAAAACAATTGTTTGAAATTCTAGCAAACGCTGAAAACATTCAAAAATCGAAGTATAAAAAGCATCGAATAAATGAACAAACAGCTCTAAATCAACACAAGAATATATTTATAAACAGTCAACACTAAACTGGGGGCGTAAAGTATTTGCCATGAAATTACGGAAAATATCTCGTTTAAGCAACTGAAACACCTGATTTTCCTGACCAGGACAAGAAACAGAATCCGGCAATCTGGCAAACTTTATTTCAGCTTTAAAGCGACGGTTTTCCAGTTAAAATGCGAATTAATCAAAAATAGATTTCGTTCTATCAATGCTTTAATAAATGTAATAAAATAGCTGTAGGTACAGCTGAGGGCGAGTTCTAATTGAATATCATGCAAATACTTTAAAAGCTCGCAAAACAATTCCCAATTAACTTTTAAAATGTGTACAGTTATTGTTATGTGTTATTTCAAATCAAATTTTACCCCAGATAAGGAAATAACCGCTCGAAACGCTTTTAGGGAAGAATGCAATAAAAATTGCGTAATTTTTACGTTTTGAACAAATTCCAGACGAAACAAAACAGGGAGAAAAAATGTTTGGGCAAATCATACTGATCTCGCTGCTTGATATTCGAAAATTCATCAAAGACAATCAATTTTTTTGCCATTCAACTGCTCGTTATAGCCCATATACAGATTCACGTGTCTATGTTGGAAAAGTTTATTTTGTAATATAATAATGTTAAAAAAACGGGTGTCACTTGACGATTGAAGCACATTATCCGCATTCCATGTAACACTGTTGGTCCTGTTAAAGTATCTTGATAATTTATATGTTGTATCGATATAAAGTATTTTTAAAAATTGAAAAAAAAAACACAGTTGTACGTAGTCCGGCTCTGTGAGAAGTCGGGGCGATTTTTTACCAATGATTTGTTTTTATTTGATTGATTGGAAGTTTATATTTTTTCATACTATAGACAAGTTTCTTGTTATGATATAAACATAAGTGTGCCTAGTCAGTAGTTCAGGTCAATTTGGAACTGTACGACCGCGCCATTTGCTTGGAACTGGGACAGTTTGAGTGAGAACGCCCAGTATATTCCTATAAAACACTAATACATTCCATAAGGGCTTTCTCGCTAGCGCAGATAAACTGTCTGTCCACCGTTTTTATTGGTATGCAGTACCTACCTGGGGACACAAGCAAAGGGCGATCGTTTTTGAGAAAAGGATTTATATCTTGAAAACCCGTCTAGCAACAAGCAAAATCATGTCTTCGATTGAGCCTACCTGAAAAACGAGTTTCAACAAAGGCTCCTTCAAGCGTCGACCTGTTTAATGGATATCGGCCCTTTTCTCTAAACTCTGTTCGTTAATATATTTTATACCTATTTATTATTATTTAAGGAATTTGAATAAGTCCAAATATTTTAAGTATGATGTTTGATAAGTCATATCAGTTTGTTAAAAGCGTGTATTATTGCAGTGGTGTATTTAATAAAGCATTTCATTTTGCTTGAACTCCTTTGGGCGTCGCTTTTTTTGACTAGAACACACTTTTTGCGTAGCTTCTATTAGTCGTCTAGAATGGAAACTGGGGCAAAGCGCCTCCAGGATACAACATCTCCACTATGTAGAGTGGGTAGAGTTCAGTTGGGGCACGTTGAATATTAGAGCTTAACGGTGAAATGAGGGGCAACTTTAATTATTTCCGGAAATTGAGTTTGTCATTCGTGTCAATTACAACTTTACAAACTCACTAGTTAATTGGAAAGTTAGTTGTTTAGTTCAACCACTTCAACAAGGTGGCTTCTCTGTGTTATTCCAATATATCTTGTTATGAACGCTGTGCGTTAAAAGCAATAAATTGGTTAAACTTTTCGGGAAAAGATATTGACTGAGACGAGCCAAATATCCCACCGTTAATAAAACAACCCGCCTACAGGATATGGAATAAATGGAACCAATCTCCCTCAATCATTTAACCCAATTAAGTGGCGAAGAGTTTAAACAACCTCCAACGGCCAACTTAAAACAAAACGAGCAGGGCAGACACGTTGTGGCGGATATCGAGTTTCGTTGATGCTCAAGTGGCGGAAAGCCTTCTTATCTTTCTTTACATGTGGTGCATAATGCGGGCCTTCTTTCAATTTCAATGGAATAACAGTGGCACTGGGGCTCTGGAAAACATGTGACACGAATATGCCGGCTGCATGCCTGTATAGGGGTCTCAAAAATAAATCATAAAAGTGAACGCTAATGGATCGGAATATGCACGTTTATGGAAGAGTATTCGCCGTAAAAAAATATAATGTGCCAGAAAACTATATTTGTAATGATATCGGTGACGAAGAATATTTATGGTGCTCCGTGAGCACATGATCAAATTTGAATTTCAAAAGGCACTGCGCGATTTGCTGAAAAGAAGACGTTCTGACCTAAGTTTTATTCAGAAAAAACGTCTAGTCCCTCTGCTATTGATGGTCAACAGAAAAAAACTGTTTTTAAATATGGGGAGAATTTTGTTTGGAACTGATGAAGCAACCGAGTTCATCCGCTTTGGGCAAGTGGTGAGTTCTTGAGTGTCTTGGTAGAAAAACTACCACAACTTTTCATTTCGTGGCTGGAACCAACACTTTTTTTCCGTTAATGCACTAATATTTTTTGGACATTTTCGGCCTCTGAAAAATCTTATAGCATTCGTACATTTTGCGCAAAAAAAATATTTCCTTTTTCTCGCTATTTAACAATTTCAGACATTAACTGCAAAAACTTAATTTAAGTTTTATTATTGTAAAAAGTTAATAAATGCCTAAATTTGCCTGTTGGCAAGAGAACAGAAATGCCTTTTTTGCGCAAAAACTATGAATTCTACAAGACTAAACTGAAGCAATAAAAACATGATCAAATTTCAAAACACACTGCGACTTCTTTCGCTTAAAACAATACGACTGACTGAGTTAATTTATGGTTCTGACCTAAGTTTTATTCCGAAAAAATATCTGGCTTCACTGCTATTGATGGTCAATAGAAAAACCGTTTTTTTAATATGGGGAGAATTTTGTTTGGAACTGATGAAGCAAAGGAGTTGATCCGCGTTGGGCAAGTGGTGAATTCTTGAGTGTCTTGGTGCAAAAACTACCACAACTTTTCATTTCGTGGCTGGAACTAACACTTTTTTTCAGTTAATGCACAGATCTTTACTGGACATTTTCCGCCTTTGAAAAATCTTACAGCATTCATACCTTTTGCGTAAAACAAGTTATTTCCTTTTTCTTGCTATTTAACAATTTCAGACAACTGCAAAAACTTAAAATTTAAGTTTTGTTAATGTAAAAAGTTAATAAATGTCTAAATTTGCCTGTCGGCAAGAGAACAAAAATGCTTTTTATGCGTAAAAACTATGAGTTCTACAAGGGTTTTACAAAGAGCCCAAACATTTTCACATCGGATTGATTAGTGCATCAACTGAAAAAAGTTCAGTTGATTCGAGCTGCCAAATAAAAAGTTCTGGTGGTTTATGTTCCCAAAACACTCGCGAATTCCTCACTTGCACAAAACGGCTAAAATCGGTTGTTTCAGTTTTCGGTAAGTTTCTCGGTAAATTCCAAGCAAAATTCGAAACAGTTTCTCATCTTTTGAAGTTTGCAAGACATTAATAAGCTCCCTAAAAAGTCGCTGTTTTCTTCAAATTTGACTATAAATGTGAACTTGTGAATTTCGACACTTTAATTTTCAACAAAACAGGCTTCAATTAGAAAAAGCGCTCAAGAGAATTTGTAAAAAGTTTTGAAGACGGAAATGCAGATAGAACCACAAAAACAACAAAAACTGTTTAAGCTTGTAATAATTCGTTAATATTTACATATCTAGGCTCTTATCCATAGTCGAGATCATCACTTAGTTTAAGTAATTTTTCACGTTTAATGTGAAAATACGATTCCCAAATGGTTCCTTGGCCCAGTCTTAAACCCCACATAAAGCAAAATTCATGTTTACCTTTACTGCCGGACTCTAAAGCACAGTCACAGCTGCTACTTCGTAGGCTAATCCGCATACATTACCTCCAATGGCCACGTACAAATAACCATTATCGCCGAAATCTTCCCCCCAAGAATTTCTTACAATATAGAAGGGCACTTTGGCTGTTAAATTATACCCAACAATTTGGACGGCATGGCTCAAATCGCCTTCGCAATGGAACTGGATCACACCTCCGACGTAGTTTTGCCAAGTTTCGCCACTAATGGCTACCGCGACTGGACCATTAATCGCCAGTAGTTTCAGGATAATGTCTTCTCTACCGACGAAACTAAAATAGAAGAATATACGGTGCATATGGAGGGATTCTCATAAAAGTGACTCCTCGGTATATACCTACAGGTTACTTGTAAGAAGATTTAGGAACATTTCTATCAGTAGAAATTTTTTTACATACTTAATTAGTGATCAGACAGAAATGCTCGTTGCCTACTAAATCAGCATTGAAATTGCTTAGGCAAAATTAGCGGCCGAGTGTAAGGAAGTAATTAATGGAGACATTCTCCCAAAACAATTCGGCAGCAAAAAAGCTTCATAATGAAGGCAAATAAAAGTTAATTATTCTCGCGATAGACAAATAATGCTGGCGGCAATTGCAAAAGACTGGCAGTGGACATGAAAATCCCCAAGGAAGCTCCAGTGTCAGAGAAAAATATTATATGAAGGCACGATTTTGCTAATGTTGAGGGTAGACTTGAAGAAGTAAATGCGGAAAGGGAACTAGTAAATAAAGCGAAGAAAAAACACAAAATCAATAAACTGACGATGCATTAAAGAACTATCCACCTGCAGATTAGGAAAAAGTCAGGAGAAACTCGAGCTCTTTCCTGAAAAGAGTAAACATTGTCAAAAAACGCTTTGAAGATAACACCGAAGAATCAAGGGAGATCTTCAAAATTGCGCCGCAACGAAAAAAACTATTTTGAATCACTATGGCAGTTTAGGCGACATATTGAACTTAAGCAAAAATAATAACTCTTCAAATGTATGGAATTGCTAGCAACCGATCACTTGATTGCAACGTTTCAGTGCTTCACAGAGTACAAGAACAGAAACTATCCTTGAAAGACTCACCTATTACATTGATAGGTCCCAACCTTGACTCCTTCACTCATATCAGTCTTCTGGCATTTTTGGTCCTCAAGTACGAGCGGATAATCAGTCTCATTCATGATTGCAATATTATTGACTTTAATCCAGCGCAACAAGGCGCAAGTATCGCCTCCTTTACACCCATTATTGTACGATGAACAATCAATCAATTGTTGAATGCTCAGATCCGTTAATTGCTGCGTCTTAATCGCCTGTAATCAACAAACAATGTGGTGCATTGAATCAAGTTTTGCTTAAGATGCCACATATAAGGACGAGGCTTGTCGAAACCGAAAATGAAATTAAGTTGATACGATGGCAGACGGATTTAAAGTGAAAATTTACAACTGTTAGGAACATACACTTATGTCTGGATTAAAATCGGTTGCTTGGAGAAAAACTAGTAGACATAAATAAGATGAAGAAAATGTGGTCGAGTTAGTTTGGCAGTCTGGTCGAAAAAGAGCGCTTAAATCTGCAAATGAATTGTTTCTGTTCAGTATTTTAAATTAAAATCGATTACAAACCTCCAAAACAACAATGATCTCGCGTTCGTTTAATAAATAATAGCTTGTTTAATTGAGTATTCCTTCTTATCGCCAGATAAGGAATGTAAGCAATGTTTAAATAAATTTATCTTCAGAAATGATAACAAGTAAATTTATTCGAATACGATGGATATTTGCGTCTAAATACCTGCATGGATTCAATAGTTTCAGAAACCGCAAATGCCCAACAAGCTCCACAATTTTTTTGATTTTTCACTTTGGACACTACATTTTTGTTTCTCCAATCAACAATCTGAGGGAGCTCCTTCTCATAAGCGCTTCTTAAGGCCACTTTTTTCAAACGGCTTTGGGCTGCGCCCCTCAAATCCCTTCTAACTCCCGCCCTGTTATTTTGCAAATCTAGGAATTCTTCTGCTGTGAAATCAGAGAACTTGGTCAAGCCATACTGGGCTGATGACTTAGTTTTGTTGGCATTTAGCTGTTCGATGTTTGCTAAGGATTTCTACAAACGATTGGTGAAACTGTGTTAGTGTGGTTTATTAGTGCGGACTTACCTTGAACGCAGCAAATCTGAACTGAAACTCGGCTTCCTGCGGATAGGATTTATTGAAGTCGCTCAAGTATTCATGGAATTGTTCCCTAATCTCGGAATCCAGTTTTATTTTACAGGGGACTACAAAAAATAATAGGGCAATGTAGAAACCCAACTCTATGTAAGTTTTGTATGTAAAATTTCTTAATGGGGACGGCATTTGTCCCAATTGAACCTTTTGCTTTAATAAACGAAAAAAATCAAAACTTAATACCCAACGTTATCTATATAAGTACATACAGACAAGTTGAGGGTTCTTTATATATATAGACACTGTTGCCGAACTTTATTTAAAATGTATCTGTTACCTGATCTATCAGGTTCCAGCCTTAAGGACAATTGAAAATAATTGGAAAGGATAAGCGGATGTTTGATTAAGGACTCATTTATTCATATGAGTGTAAATGAAAGTCGCCAGTTCGTCAATCAAATAATTTAATGGCTGATTTGAGAATAAAAGCGCAGCTATTGAAGATCCTAAGTGGTAAATGGTGAAATAAAATCACCATTCACTTAGGAAACAAGATTTAATACTATTGAACTGGATCAAGTCCAAGTTCGCCTAGCTCAAACGAACCAATTTTATATCGCCAACACATTGTTTTTTTTGTAAATTATCAGAGCTCAAGCGTTTTAACAATAATAGAGCTGTGGGTTCAGATCCAATTCCAATACTCTGCTCACACAAATTTAATTGATATGGATTTACTCTGTTTTATTCATAAAAGGTTGCATTTTAGCGTGAAGAAATTTGTATGAAGCGTAACTTTTTTCTTGAAGTCCATAAAGTTTTGTAGATACATCGTCCAGACCAGCCTTAATGTATACGAAGCAACGAATGTTATCTATTTTGAATGTTTCGTCTTCATCCTATTTTACCTCTACTCTGATTTAGGGTTACTTTTCTTCGGTTTCTTTGTCGGTCCCGATTGCTTCCTTTTTCTTCCCTAAAAAATGAATAAACCAACAATAATACTATTAAATATCAATTTATTATGGGCGTTTCCCCCTACCCATTGGCACCCACCTCACATTAAAAATAAATAAAACAGGTCTTTGTTCGGGAAAGATTGGAATTGACACTTTAATCATTTCAAAACGTGTATAAATGTAAGCAGAATTATTTGAAACACAAGAAGTAAGTCGCAAATTTTCACTTTTGTCGGGGTTTTTGTTTTAATGTAGTCAATGAAAATTGAAGGTATTAGAAGCAAAACCGCCTTTAAAGTGTTAACTCGTGTTCTCCATATTTGCTTCTATTTGGTAGTAAAATCGCCCAGGTAAAATTTAATATAAATGAATCTCGCCAGACGTTTGGAGCCAAAAATGCCTGAGTGGCTGACTTGGATTGTTTTGTTGAACTGAATGTATTTTCGTTAGAATATTACAAAATTTAATCACGAGATTAAGTGCTTAATTATATTATTAATTTCAATCATTATGTCTTCTGGATCGGGTAAATAAAATATTAGCAGGTTTAAAAACTATTGGAATTTTGATTAGATGAGAATAGAAAAAACAACCGACCAGCAATCTGCTGACAGCTGACAAGCAAGCTGAAGGTTCGCAAGTTGAAAATCTCGAAGAACAAGATAATAATGACATGAATTTGTTGCCAGATTACGAGTAAATTTAGTTGTTGTTTGCTAAACATTCATTTTTGTGAAAAATATTAAAATGTTGGACAAAACAACCCAAGGGCTATCTGGTTTAAAAATTTATTTAAATTTTTTTTATTTCTTGGATAGTAGTTGAGTTTTTGCACTTAATTTGAATTGTTCTAAAACACAAACCAATTTCATTTATAAGCTAAGAATTTTCAATTGTAAAAAATTACGGTAAATGGCGAACACTAAGGGGGCATTGCAGATGAGCCAATGAAAAAATGTACGTAACTGAAAAGGAACGGGACGTTAAACAAAGTTATGTAAAATCGCAAGGACAATGCTTGGAGTTGATGGTATTGAACATCATGCCTTAGTAATAAATGACTAGTTGCATGCAAAATGAATTGAAATATTCTAAGTAAAGTGTAAAGAACCCCAAACTACTGACACTGATATTGTGACCAATAAAAATTGCTTACACCTACTTGAGGGTTTTGCTCAATATCAGGACACGCATTGTGGGAACGATGTTTTTTATCAATCACAATCATTTCTACCGACAAATACGCCACTTATTAGTAAAAACCTGTTTACCAACCTTACCTTGGTCCTCAACCTCAACTGCAGGCTGAGGGGCGTCAACAGGATAGTTGCCCTGCGTTGGTGGCGAAGCTCCTCCATCAGATCCTCCACTGTCACCGCCATGTGGAGGCGGGTATGGGTGTTGGCGACCCTAATTCAACCCCGTTTGTTAGCAATTTCATCTCTGATTAAAACTAAAACAAATCCTACCTGGGGAGGATACTGCGGGTAGTTCTGTGGTGGATAGTGGGCGTATCCCGCATATTGTCCTGAGGGTGGAGGATAACTTTGCTGATGGGGCTGATGGGGCGGGTAGCTTGGGTTTGGTTGACCAGCAGGATATCCATAACCTTGATGGGGCGGTGGGCGAGCAGGAATAGGAACGCCTTGTTGAGGAGGAGCAACGCCAGCACCTAAAAAATGTTTTTATTCGAATCAATTAAAAACTGACATTTTCCTTTGACACTTTTCTTCAGTATTCATTTGTTTTACTTTTACGCCCAGTGTGCGCAAAAGTAAGTGACAGTGACACATTGACCGTGTCACTATCATTAACTTTAAAACAAATATTTCCATTAAAAAGTAACCGACATGCTTTCCATTGATCCTAATTGAAAGTTTACCTGCAATTTGTAAGTTATAACTTCGTTACAAGTTCAGTCTCAAAGTCGTGTTAATGGTCCATTCGCGAACTAACTTTGACTGACGTAAGACTTGACACTTATTTTGATTAGATGTCATTGTGGCTTATTTTGTTTAGTGCTACTCAGCTTTTTCAAGCCTTTAAACAAAGAGTATTATTTTATGTTATAAAGTTAAGAACAGAGGATAAAATATGAGACACCAGGAACGTATTCACTTGTATGTGCATCGAAAAGTACGCTTTTGAAAAATTACAAACGTCAAAACGTGACATTTGAAAAATGACAATGACATCAAATTTAAAACATGAAATCAGTGTCTTTTACTTTTGGCTCTTATTTATTATAACTGATAATGCGTGATATGTCTTTCATTCGAATTTGCATATACTTTCCTGACTGTGTTTCAATTCCAAATCAAATTCATTCCTGAGTGTCAGTCATTTATTGTCTCTATTTATCAATCAAAATACGTTTCGGTGTATTTTCCCCCCATCATCAGTGTTTATGTGTAGCGTTGTTGCTGCTTTAAGCAACTTATGAAAATGCATGCCAAGGCTTAAAGCAGCAATAACGCTGCACATAAAAACTGATGATGGTGGAAAAATACACGGAAACGTATTTTGATTGATAAATAGAGACAATACATTTATTACTTACTTAATGAACCCCAGGAATGAATTTGATTTCATTCGAATAAAAAATATTGTTAGATACGGGGGCGAAAATCCGTTTTTCGAACTCCTGAGGGATTGACACAAACGATACTTTTTGCCCTTGTATCGAAAACCACTATTAATTCACTACTTGCTGTTGAAAAATGCTTAATTCGTACTACTTCACCTTGTGGTGGATATTGTTGTGGATAAGGCTGAGGAGGCACCTGAGCAGGAGGCATCATAACAGTAGCGTGAGGAGTAGGTGGCGCACTTTGAACAGGCGGCGCTTGAACATGAGGTGGATGAGGAGCTACACTCGTAGGTCCAGGCGCAGAAGGCGCCAAATGATTTGCCTGTAAAAGTACGTAAAATTCATTCCACGTTTTGGATTTTTTGCCAACTGAAATTTACCGGAGGTATATGAGCAGGGGGGCCATGAGGAGCGCCAATTGAGTTGTATGCTTGCGCGGACACTTGACTATGGTCTGCTTGTTGAGTAGGAGGCGCCGACAAAGGTACGGGCTGAGGACGTGGAGGGTGATGTTGTGGGCCTTCCACTTTCTCTGGCTCCTTCATTGGCCCGGCGCCGTTACTTTGAATAAGAGCAGGAGTGGTATCCATTGGTTCCGCCTAGAATGGTACTCATGAAACATTTTACCCATTAAAAAAAATGCAGGTACCTCAGGTTGTCCGTTTTGGGCGTACGAGCTTGAGGATTCCACAGGGCCATTAGTCGCAGTTTTCTTGGAATCCTCCAGAGATTTGGTTCTCTCTTTTTTCAAAATATCATACTGACGATCGACCATCTTCAGGAAAGCATCGTCGTCAACAGCAGGTTTGCAGTGCTATTAAACAACAAATAAAAAATGTAATTATCACGTAAGTATTTTATTTAACAAAATCAAAAAAATATCTTATCAAACCGCAATTTACAATCGCGCTACAGTGGACATTATCCGCGGCACTTAGGATGACGCTCCAATAGTGAGCTGAGTGGTTTTTAAGACCCGCATTAGTTTCAATTTTTCGCAATTTATGACCAACATTCCTAAAATTATGTTGGTCATAAAAAGTGCACATTTTTAGGCTCTATACCTCGATAGCAACTGGGGCTGTGCAGCGCATCCTGATTTCTAAATATGAGTCAGAGACCAACAGCGGTTTTCAAATGCTGCATTCATTTTGTAGTTTGCATAAAAACTAGACAATTCTAAAATTATGTTTGGTATGACCAACTGCACATTTTAGGCACAACTAGAGCTTGCCGCTCGACCGCTCAAGCCTGCACCTCTGATATGAATTAAAATATTTAAATTTTGTTTTCCCTACTCACCTTCTGTAACTCCTCTTGAAACTGGTCACTGCTTTCTACAAATTTTCTCTTTTTGGCCTCAAACTTTTCTTCAATTTGCTGCAATTCCGCCTCCAGTTTCTTTTGGTGCATTGTGAGTGACTGGACTTGCCGCTGGCCATCCGAAACTCAACAGTTTTAGAACGTGTGGAATAAAACGTTATTTGGTACCAACCTTTAGCACTTGCATTCTACCGGTCGTCACGACAGATCTAACATCCGGAACCACTGAGTCGGAGAATATTTCATTAATTAACCGGTGGTTCCTTAAGTAGCGAGCATAGGCCAAGTGTTTTACAGAGTACCCGTCGTCTTGGTCTAGAACAATACTTTTTTTAATTGAAAGCTGTGGATTGCCAGAAAAACTTTACCATCTTCATCTTCTGCCGGTTGAATTTCAATCCGTCTATCTGCAGATTGCTTGGATGAACTGGTGCTTCTCTCATGGCTGTCGCCATCTGATCCTTGAGCAGCTAAAATTTTTTCTACTCATGGTTCAAAACGATTAACAATTATAACATTGTGATTGAATAAATATTCATCAGATTTTTTGGGGGATGCTGCTCTCCCGAAGACTTACCAGACTTGCACTTGTTTTTAGCCTGAATGAACGCTTGATAACCAGGAGAACTGTGGTAAACTTTGAGCGACTTCTCATATTCCACCTGCAAGCAAGTAAATGTGTTATTGACGAAAATGAGCATAAATCAACTAAAAAATCCACCTTCTCTATTTCGTATTCTTCAATAAATTCCTGCTTTTCTTCATCGGGCAAATCCCGCCACATTGAACCGATTATTTTACCGATCTCCCACAACTTCAAGTCAGCATTCTGAGCCTTAACGTTATCCCACACTTTTCGACTGTATCTCATGTAGGGCATCAGAGGTTTTTCGGGGGCTTTAGGAGCTCGTGGTATTTTTGCCTCAGTTTTCTGGAAATATTCGATCAAAATTAGCAAAGAAAGCCGAATTCCGACGGAAACTCTTACTACTTTTCCTGTTCCTACTTTTTGGGGTACAAATCCAGGGTTTCCACTAGCCGTAGATGTAAAGGGATTGGTTTCTTTCTGTAGAAATAAAGGCTTGATTAAATTTGCATTGGCATTTGAGCAGTACTAGTTTGATCAAGAATTAACTTCTAATATAAAAGATGAGCTATAAACATATTTACTTACACTTGCAGATGATGCAGAACTGCCAGATGCCCTAAGCCTTTCTATGGAAATAAAAATGGATAATTTATTAGTGAATAAGTATCAATTGTCATCATCAGCATGAAACCAACACTCACTTAATCATGCCCAAAATAGACAGTAAACTACTGAACTTACCTTACCATATCTAAACAGGGCAATATTAAGTGCTACAGATTAACATTTCTTTCACGAACTGTTATGGGTACTTGAACTACTACTAGAAACAGTGAATGACCAAAAAAACACTGACAAACTACTACGATACAGTCTACTTAAACATCAACCAAAATAACTAAATAATTAATGACTGTCGGCCGATATAAAGTAGAACATTTCGTACTCGTGTTAACAACTGAGTTAGAGCAAAGCGAGTAAGTAACGTTATTTAAGTGGAAGCTATACAAGAATTAAAAACAATTATAAAAAGAACTTAAAGGCAGTTACCTTTCAATATGTTGAAAGTCATGGGAGCGCCAGCCGACATCAAATCTGAACAACAAACACAAACAAAGCATATCATCAGCACTAGTCTACTTAACTGGTAACAATTTGTACCCTTTTTTGCGACTTGGATGTTAATTTATTTGTAACTGACTACAGACAGCGGACACCCCCATTTTGTCACTGATTTCAGTAAAAAGAATCACTAAATATTTAGGAAACGAGGACTGCAGGGATAACAAACGAACTATTAATTGTGTAAGCTGTTGTTGAACTGATTGTTTAAGCAAAATATGTAACTAGTTAATGTGGGAATTTCACTGATAGGTATGCAGGGCTTAGGACAGCGAATTAAACAAAAGGCAAAATAATGTGTCCTCTGTATGCAGTCAGTTATCATTTAATTGTTACAAATGTTCTACGAACGGAAATAAATACAGTACAAATCATTATTAGTGAGGCCTAAAGGTAAAGGTATTTTAAAAGTAACGTAATATAATCAAGAGAACATGCTTTTATTGGCCCTGAACAGGGTCACCAAGTACAGTTTAAATTCAGACGAATTCTTCAATTTTACTCATGCGATCTCAAGCGGATCTAAATTCGGAATTATTCCATAACTAATAATACTTTTCACTACTAATAAAGCTTTGTCTTACGATTTGAAGATTGGGGGCTAGCCACTTGCATAGCTACTTGCTTGTAGTTGGCTGGAAGAGCCATTTTTTCCCACTGAAATAATCGGAAGACTTGCAGACTATTCGTTTAGACCATTAAACTCACCATTACCTCACTATCCAATAGTGTGTAATCTGTGATTTGAGGTAAAAAAGCTAAATAGCCACATACAATTCTCTGAAATAGCCAAACAAAAATTGACAATCTTGTCTCCGACTGTCAATAAATAGTGGTAAAAGACATTTAGAGCGAGTAAAAATTAGGTTATGTTGGAGATTTTGTTATTTTTCATGTATTTTTGTTTTTATATTGTTTAGGCTAAAATATGTTGCTTCTAACCAAGGGTCTTAAACTATACATCAAGAGAAAACGATGAAATTTTGATAAATTCAGTGAAATCAATAGCTGAAAATCTATTTAAATATAACTAATTGAATAGTTCTTATGAACTATTATGAATATGAATTTAATATACACTATTAAATACATTTCTTAAAGAGAATTTAAAAAAATAATTAAAGCATAGAAAAACGGAAACCTAATTTAAAAACTAGCGATTTTCCATGGTTAAAAATCACCATAAAACTGGTAAAACATTTTGTGATGCAGGGCGTTTATTTTCAAGCGTTTACGTCACTATCACTCCCGTGGAATTTTTGTATTGCCGATTGCCTAAAATCGGTGATAGAGTCTAGACCAGGCGAGTGACAATTCACATCTGTGAGAATCTTACTATCATTCACAAACAGAGAACTGACTGACTGAATCAAGAGTTTGGTAATCTGTGATACAGAAATAGATTAATATCGCTTGTGAATATCGAATTTGCTTCTCACCGATTTTAGGCAATCGGCAATACAAAGTTCCCTGGTCGGGCGCTCGTAAACGCATGAAAATAAACGCCCTGATGACATTGATTCAGTGTGTGGTGACAACAACCTCGCGTAAGATTGTAGCGTGAGTTGACAACACCGCAACAGGCCCTCCGAGGAGGGATAAAAGGCACTGCCTTTCGGCACCCGCCATCTTATGTATTTATTTGTACTAGCCATTTTGCCGATATATGTTTCAAGGAAAACCGAATGCTATTAAGAAATTGTCTGCCAACAATAGGCCTTCCAGGTATGTTTAAATAAGACTATCCTATGTCTTATTTTAAATATTACTACATACATGTGAATAGTTTACGTATTTTAGTCTTTTCGTAGTATATTTATTTGTAGTAGGCATTTTCACGATGTGTGTTTCAAGGCACACGGGAGACTAATATTAAATTGTCTACCAACAAAAGGACTTCCAGGTATGTTTAAATAAGACTAACTTGCCTGTTTTAAAGATTGCTACAACATACATTATTCACCCTACATACTAGGTGCAGCTTCCAAGGAAAACAGCTTCTATCGAGAAGGTGTAGCATATGCTCAAGGATGTGTGACCCCCGTAAAAAATCTTGCGGCAGAGTCAGGCACATCCTTCACCCAGTGGAGTCCGTTGGAAGCTGTTACGAAGCCAGCAAAAGTGTATCGTGGCAAAGACGGTTGGTGCAACCAATAGCCAACATATGTGATATTGCTGGACCAGCATATGACAATGTTGACACATCAAATATCGCCACAATTCCGTGTAAGTACATGATACTCAATAATATGCAATAGATGAGGAAGTGAGATGTTAATTTAACACCCTATAAAATTACTAGGCACGAATACCACTTTTGCCAAGGAGGGTAGACTATTACCTGAAACGGTAGCACCACCTACCCAGGAATTTT